AAGACCCTTCAAAGTTCAAACCAACTTTTTTTTCTGTGTGTGGGAAAAATAGTAAAAAGGTAATAATGGGAATTTTTGAGTTTGTAGTCAATGAATAGTGAATACTTACTTTGTCGGTGCATCGGCCTGCGAGTGTAAAGCATAGAATTGGATTTGAATTTGGGGGTAATTGAAAATTGCCTTTAAGGGTTTAGCCTATTTTGCAAAAAAAAATCCCATTATTTTTCAAAATTACATTGGCCATCCTCGATGTCGATGGGATAAAATCGTCGAACATGTGTGTAATCTGACTGTTCAAACTTTAATATGAATAATGTCCATCCGGTTTTAAATTTCAGTGGATTTCATCTATCGGTGTTTTACTGTCTTTCCAATTTCAGATCGAAGTATGTGTGTAATCTGACGGTTCAAAACTTTAGTTTGAATAATTTTCACATCGATAGAGTTCGAATTTGTGTTTGCATTTTTTCTTCTTTACTTAAAGCAAACATGAGACAAAGATAAAAATCATTCCTATATATAAATGCAGATTTTTTCGAGTTATTTGTCAATTTTCAGTTTTTGTAATTTTATGTGTCGATTTCTGATGTAATCTTATATGTGAAATATTAGTAGTTTGTGATAATCTATATAGATTTGGACTTTTATTCATGTCTATTAGAAATTTTAGAATTATAATGTACTTGGTGAACTCATATTATGAATATATTTTAAAATTTAATAATTTTTTTATTGCGATTAATATATGATATATCAAACTAATCCTTTGTGATGATTTTAGTTTGACATCATATTCTACATATAAGACAAAAAAAAAAAATATCTATCTCTATAAGTATAATTAAATAAAAATAACAATAATTTTTCATAAAAATATTTATAAGTTTAAAATAAAAACTTGTAAGTTTATTTAATTTTTAAATATAATATTTTCAATTAATACCATGTAATCCACGAGTTTTGTACCACGATACCCATATTTACAACAGGACCCAAAATTTATTAATGTGGTGATATCTATTGTTTTGAGAGGATGTATTTTCCTTTTTTTTTAAAAAAAATTTTAAAGTATATTATCCATGTTCACCTATTATGCTCTCTTTGGACTTGGTTGTGGTCTATACTATTGGACCTAATATCATCAGATTTATCACAAGTTTCCATGTAATTGGGCTTTCAATGGAGAATCGAGATGGATTTACCAGCCATTTAGGCCCATTTGTTAGTTTTACTTGCAAACTACTCCTCCATTTTATGAACATGCATAGATACAAATATTTTTATAAGTCATATATGTTTATGTATAAAATAATTAAAATTATAATTTATAAGTAAATTATGGCTACGTCCCACAAATAGCTCGGTTAGAGTATCTTCAATGAAAAATTGTCCATTTTATGTTGTATGGCATGGGGAATGAAAACAAAAAAAATTATGTCTCCAATGATCAATGTTAATTGTGGTTCTATTCGTGATGTGTAAAATTTAATTGATTGAAGAAGATAAATAAATTGAATAAATAATTTAATAAACAATAGAAGTCGTGGGCTTCTAACTCTAGAAAGCCTTCTAGAATTTTTTCAAGCCACATAAGATTATTTATGCCATGTGGCAATAAAATAGAGAAATGCAAAGACCATTGGAGATGCTCTTAGATTATTTATTAAACAAAATATATATGTGACGGCTCGAACCGTCTAATGATGAGACTCACTCACACACACCTTGCGATTGTATACACCGAACACGAGAAGCCCAACAATAATAATAACAATTTACTGGTCGGAGAAAATATCCTGGAGAATAGAAATGCACTGCGGGTGTGGGTCCTTGGTCATGAACCCGATCGGGTTAGCGAACCGGACGTCCGAGTGGATTCCGATGTTCTCGGTCAGCACGACTAGGGAAAGTTGCACGTCAGTCAAGGGCTCGCTGCACTCTGGCTTCGGGCTCTTGAGGGCCGTGACGTAGCACGAGTCGTTCTCGTGGTCCCCACTCACCTTGAGGCTGTACTTCCCGTTACCATCTGTCACACCTTCTACGCTGTATGTGACTGCCTTCGTGTCGAGGTTCACACACTCCAGCTTCACGAGGGCCCCTAAATATTATAAGGTCACAAATATAACAATTAGTAACAATAATTTCAAGCCCTCAAATTTAAATAGCCATGGACATACTGATTGACTAATTTTTTTATTAATCATGATGATTAGCTAAACCGGTTTTGCTATGAAGCCAACATGTGGCTCCATATATAGTGGAACCAACCTTCTATATACAACAAATAAACCTACCATATTAATAAAATTATATTAACTTTATTTAAGTAATCGGAAAATATGGTAGGTTTACTTGTTGTATATAAAAAGTTGGCTCCACTATGGAGGCAACTGTTGGCTCCATAGCAAAACCGTAAACTAAAAAGGCTCCGATATATTTCTATCCATTTCTTGATTTATGCGATATCATCCTTGTGCAGGAGCCGCATCATCTCTCTCTTATTTTTACATTAAATCAAATTTAATTATTTTATTTTAAATCTTATTTTACTATTTAAACTCAAAATCCTACAAATAATTAATCATACAATTTTTTTTTTAAATTTAATCATGATTAACTAAAAAGACCCGGATATATTTCTATCCAAACACGCCTAAGTTTTCGGTACCTGAAAGCTTGTCGCTAAGAGCGTTTTGGAACTGAACTCGGCAAGGATCGCAATAAACATCGCCCTCGACTGTGAATTCTTCGTGTTTGTGGCATTGGGCAATGGCGGCAAAGGCTAGGATGCAGAGGGCCGAGACGAGACGAGTAGCCTTTGCCATTTTATTTCGGATTATTCTTTTTATTTTTATTTTTTTTTATTGTTGACTTCTCTTGTCTTGTGTGTGTTTTGTGAAGAGAAATTTTGGCATGAATTTATAAGGTTGAAAGGATGGTAAAAAGGGGTGGTGAAGCGATTATTTCTGTATTTCATCCAAAGTTGTTGTAATGTGTTTGCTCATGATAATTGTGAGGTCAATGTGTTTGTTTAGTTTAATTTGTTTAAACTTTAATGTATATTTTTTTATCTCTATTCAATGAGGTAAACAGGATTAACGGCCACGGCTTTTACCAAATAAATGGAGAAAATGTACCCATGCATGCACAAGAACATTGGCTTAGCATAAACGTTACTCCGGCATACTATTTTTTGAAATTGAAAAGATGGTGGGGAATATAGAGTATGCAACTTGTGTTAGAACACAGAAATTTTGGCGGCAAAGGCTGGATTGTGTTAAAAGCAGAAGCGATATAAAAATATTTCTCCGGGGAGCGTCCCACTACCTCTCAGAGTTCTTTCATTGATAAATCGATTTTGCGTCCCACAAAATACATCTTGGACTTACTCGACTTGGACTCTCTCCTAGTCTAGCTAATACTATACCCGATCCTATCAACTACTTCCCTGCCACGTGCCGTGCACTTTACACACTCGAATCCCTCGAGCAAACCCAGTACTTAATCCCTAAGCACTCAAAAAGTGTTTGTAAAAAGAAAAAGAAATTAAACAAACGCAGTTCGTCAGCAATGTAAGAACGTTGAAGTGTTGTACGAACAAAATAAAAAGAATAAAAGTCTCTGAAACACTCAATTGAATCTTGATGAATGATGAACGATTTGCAGCAGCTTTATTGTCTTCGATTGATTGTTTGAGTAGGCTTATATACAATCTCCTTAAGGTAATGAGTCTTCACAAGTTCATCCTTTTTCTTTTAAGAGACAATTTTCTTCTCAATTGATTGCTTTCTGCCTTGGACGAAATCTTTCATGTAAAGTAAGTTTCCTTGATGTAGAAATCATGTATGTGATTGGAGATCTTCATAATTGAGCTTCCAATGGAAATCTCGTGTTCTCAGAATCGTGTAAGAACATACTTTCCAAAAATAGCCGATCTTCCAAATCTTCAAAGTTCTTGTGGTGAATCTTTCTGAATCTTTCTTAGATCTTCTAGAGAACGTCCAAAATTCTTCTTGTGTGAATATCTCATCCTTTCATAGTCCTTGTCACTTATTCCTTGTCTTACAAGAGAGAGAAAACCAATTATGGCATAGAATCAAGCTCCTTAATGCAAGTGACATATATGGTAAGTGAATATATAAGATACTCCCTCCTATTCATTATAAATGTCGTTTTGACTTTTTTGATTCATCCATTTTGTTATGTATCTAGACATATTAATGTCTAGATACATAATAAAATGGATGAATCACAAAAGTCAAAACGACATTTAAAAAGAATAGGAGGTAGTATATATTATGTAATATTTCTCCTAAAGGATTAGTATTCTATAATACATACTACAATAAATATATACCATATATTATTAATAATAAATATTAGGAACTTAATTAAATCACAAGTAAATAAATAGAAAAACTTTCCTTTAATTTATTTTGCTTGCTTAACAAGAAATCTTTTAGAAAACACTACGGTTTGTCGGACGATGTCAAACCAATATTCTTACAGAAATGTATATACTTTTATTGAAAAAATATTACACGTATTTTAAAATAAAATAGTATAAACAGAAATATGACATTTGGTAACATAAATATTTATTTTTTGTTCGAAGAATATGACGGATCGACCCTCTTTAGGCGTCAACCACAATCAAGGAGGTGGATTTATTGCGTATTGAAGAGATTAAGTGTAACAACGTAACCATTTATAAGAATATTAAACTAATCTCTGATTGCAAAAATAAATTAAGCACAAAAGTTGGAAATATATTAAGGGAAAAACTACAGTCTCGTTACGGAATAATTTTATCATGATTTTTAACCCTAAATACACCATGTAGATTAGTGTAAATAGATAATCTATATTTATAAATCCTGACGGAATGGTTCCGTAACGGGATTAATGTAGTCTTTCCCTATATCAAGACAAAAAGCTCAATAGGAGGAGAAAGGTTATTACAAGATATATTGGTTGCCATTGTTATATACTAATATTTCACGAAGTGAAATCACAAGATTCAATCCCGAGTCGTATATCACAAGGAAATTAGCTAGTTGAATTATTTCGCAAAATTATTCAAGCACGATAAAATAAAATAAATCCTAAACACTATAACTCAAATAGTTGGTTTCGATTATCAACTAATGGTTCAAAGACCATACAATTGCTCAAATTCTAAATTTCAAACAAATCTCAAATGCTTGAAGTTTCAATTATTGTTTATTGCAATAGAAATAGTTCTGATTATGTTAGTTTTTCGGCCATACCTTTCTCCGTATTTCATGCAGATTTAATATTTGATGAACTCATTACATTTTTTTATGTTCTGCCTTTAAAAAAAATAAAATAAAAAAGGTTAAATTTTTAATGGGATTTTTTTTTTCTTATTTTGGAGCTTGTGAAGATCAAGTAAAAATATTTTCTTTCCAATATTATGTTTCAATTTCTGCTTACACTACAAAAAAACACTTCAATTCCAACGAAAAATTCCAACGGCAAAATTTCTGTTGGAAATTCCAATGAATATTCCAACAAACTTAATTTTATGTTGGAATAAGTGTTGGATGGTTGAGGAATTCCAACGGATTTTTTTCGTTGGAATAGTTGTAGGAATTTATTTCCATATGATTTTCCGTTGGATTTTAGCTATTCCAACAACCGTTTTTCCCACGAATTTTTATACATAGGAATATCCGTTGGAATAGCTATTCCAACGAAAAATATAAAGAATTCCATCCGTTGGAATAACTATTCCAACGAAAAATATAAAGAATTCCAACGGAAAATTTCCGTTGAAATGTAAGAGTTTTTTTGTAGTGTTAATTATTAACATGTGTATTTATTATTTCAAAATCATGATCTGATTTTAGAATAGGCAATATATCATTATAAAGATAAGGAGAATTATTTACTTAAATAATTGAATTTGAGGTATCTATGGCAACTTCAAGCATACTTATTTGGTATAAAATATTGTTTAATTAATTTTTATTCAAGCCACAATTAACCTATAAATACATACAACTTATTACAAAAACTCTTTGTAATTAAGAAATTCGAAAGCATGAAAAACACTCTTCGCTTTGTGATTATGCTATTGGTCCTTATATATTGTAGAGGTGACCAATTTTTATTTTATTTTTTTATATACTTACATCACAATTTTGTTTCTCTTGTTTAAGTAATATACATAAATAAATTTGTAATATATTTTTTTTTATTTTATTTTTTTAATTTTTTTGCAGGTGAGTATATTGGAATTAGGGCAAAAAATTTGCAACAAACAATTTTTTACGGGAGCTTATGAGTGTAGTGAAACAATGTGTGGTCAGTTGTGCACACAACAAATAAAAGCTCCACGAGTGAAGGGTCATTGTATCCTAAGTGACATTTGTGATTGCACTTATCGATGTCTATCATAGTTTTAACGAGCACTGGTTACTAGTACAATATTCGTGTAATAAACGGGTGCTTAGTTAGAAAATTTATATTCTATTTTTATGAAAGAAAGGATATAGAAGGAAGTACTTGTCTTAAATTTCAAAAATATTTGCTTTTTTTTTTTAAATAGTTGTATAATATTCATAGTAACGGCGATTGTTTTTAGGTTATATTACTGGTTTTTCGATCGTTTATCTATAGTTCTATTCTAGTAGTGTTTATAATTTAGTTGTTGAGTATTTTTGTGAATTGTTGTTTGATTTATATAAGAGTATTATTTTATAAAACTAATAAATTGAAAATGAACTATATATATGTATTCTTGTATTGTTTATAGACCTATAATAAACTGAGAAGTAAAATAGATATAAATTTAGAGTAAATAAATATTTTATAAATTCATATGGAGAGATAATTAAATTTAAATTGAATGGAAATATGGAATAGAGAGAAGAGGGAGGAGAGAATGATAAAATTATAGAGGAAAGAAGAAGAAATAAAGACTAATGGAATAGGAAAGAGATTAAGTGGAATAGAAATCCCTTTATATGTAATTCTTGAATGTGCTGAGTTTAAGTGACATGCTAGCATGTTTCGAGATTTTATGTGACAAATTTTTATGCTTTATGATTTGGATTGGATAAATTATAATTACTCCCAATCCAAAACAATTAGGTTTGGAATAACAATAAATATGGTAGATATTTATGATTTTTTAAAAGCATTGATTATGTTATATTTCTTACTTTAAACGTGATTTATAAGGCATAAATATTTTCCTCAATCTTTATTTTTTTTTCTCATCTTTCTTTTAAATTTATGAAAAAAAATTACTCACTTAATAAGTATATTTACAAGTTAATATTTTTTCTTCATTATCATTTTTTTTTTTGCATAATATATCAAATTAATCATGCCTTGATGAGTTCTTATTTGACACCTATTGTACATACAAAATAATAATAAAAAATAAATTACCTATTAATATTAAATAAAAATACAATTATTTAAATTAATTTAACTACAAAGTTTTTAAATGATGTAATTTTAAAATTTTTTGTAATATAATATGGTAAATTGTGTAAGTGACGAATGTTATTTTAAATATAAATAGTAAAATAGTTATTCCAAAAAGTATTTTCAAATTTAAATTTTTATTATTATTATTTGGAATTTTAAATATAAATT